TGATTATTGAAGTGATTAAGTTGTATTAAAAGGGCTATAACATGACAACATAATCCGCTTTTGCCCACTGCACAACCACAGTATGCTTTCACAGGAGTATTTTTGCAAAACAAAAGTGTTGCAGGTCTGCTTATACTCCCTGTGTACGATTTAAGAATGCTAGCTTTCACGTACGTGTCACCAGAACATTCAATTATTTTAACCGACATTATTCTTCTCGAAGAAAATAATTTATAAGCCTTTCTGTACTGTCCTTTTCCTCCAGCGTATTTCGCTTTCTGGTATTCTTTAATCGTACATTCAGTAACAGTCGGAACTGCAACTTCTGTCTGTTTCCCTACGACCTTCCAGTTTGCTGAGAGAGGTGGAATAGAATGGGGATCGAGTGCAGTAGAAAACTTAAAATCTTCTTGAATTCGAGTGACTTTTTTATCAAACAACTCCTTGAACTTTCCGAGTGGTTCTAACCTCTGAGCTAGTTCTTTCTTTTCGCCGGAAACTTTCAGCTTTAGAGCATTACAGCAATACTGCAGTCTTTCTTTATTAAGTTTTGGCAAATTGTCGGTAGAAATCTCGTTAAAAATTTCCTCAAAACAGACAGCAGGACTTCTCTTATCGTCCGCCATATTGAATCTGGAATCAGAAATGTCCGGCAAAATCCGGTAGTGCCAGTCCCCCGCTCGCCATGAAATTAGGCAATGTGAGCTGTGTAGTAACGAGATCTTCAATCAGTGACAGTCTTGAAGTTGTTTCATATGTCCATTTACTAAACAGCTGTAGTCAAGACTGGTATGCAGTTCTTTCCATCATCGAGCACCTATTTTCTTTAATAAAGGAACGCAACCCGTCTATAAGTAAAGCCTACATAAGATCAGACGAGGCATTAACAACATGTTAATATCGTCATTACATGAGCTTGGAAAGCGACAAGGAATAAAGGCGGTAAGATTCGACCATTCCGAACCCCAGTCAGGCAAGGATATCTGTGACAGAATCTTGTGTTCACTGAAGGCCTCAATCAAACGTTATTGTAATGAGGGACATGACATTGAAAATGCCGAAGACATGCACGTTGCTTTAAAGGAAAGACCCGTAAATGGAACCACTGCAACTGTTTGTACCATTGAGGAGCATAACCAGACCCTTGAGATAAATACCATCAACAACTACAGCAAGTTGCATAACTTCAAGCTTACTACGAATGGAATAAGAGTGTGGAAAGCTTTTGATATAGGTCCAGGAAAACTACTTTCAATAAAAGACATTGTGAAATGTTCCCAAAGAGCGACTGGAATTATAGAAGATGTGAAAGCCTTTCCCACAAATGCACGCACCTTTGGGTCCAAGAAAGTGACGGAAGTAACCCCGGAGAAAAGGTACCAATGCTCAGACTCCTCTTGCTCTGAAGAATTCAAAACTCATTCTGAACTTGACCTACACTTAAATATGTATGGTCATCGCACATTCTCTCAAACAGTAAAAGAAAGCATGTACTACCAGATAAAGAAAGACTGGATGCATCGCTTCGAAGTGCTTAAAAAATCACCGGGTGCCGAATGCATTGCAGACAGGGAGAAAACAAGTCATCCATCGCTAAACATGGGCTGGGCACTTCACAAGAAAGGAATATGTAAAAGATTCCCAGCAAAGGTTCGCCAGTACTTGATAATGAAGTTTAATATTGGCCAACAAACTGGGAGGAAAGAAGATCCAGCGCAAGTGGCAAAGGACATGAGGACAGCCTCATCGGTGGAAGGAGAAAGAATGTTTAGTAGGACAGAATGGCTAACTAAATCACAGATACAAGGCTTCTTTTCAAGATTATCCAAGAAAATAAAAGAGGGTCAGGTTTTATCAGAAGGTGATGTTGAAAGTGACTCTGAGGAGACGGGCGATGAAGACGATATGGAGGAATACGCCTGTGAAAAAGATGAAGAGAACCTGAACGACATTAGGCAAGCTGTACTGGACAAGATAGAAGTGTCCCATCCCATCACATTTGATGTTTACAACCTCTGCAAAAAAAATAAACCGCCAAGTGACACTAAATAGGCAATGAACATGTCGTATGACATTCTTCTATTGATTAGGTTACATATATTTTAACATACCTCAGTAATGCCTAATAGATTAAGTTAAAATTATGCTAATTCACCTGTCAATGCTACGCCCAAGGGGGCTTGATATTTTGGACTACCTTTGCATCCATCCCTGCCTGGGATAGCTGCTGATGTGAAATACCACAACTCCAAGAGCTAAGTTGATCCAGCTTTAAACATTTCAGACAGTGTCAAATACCCCCCACCCCAGAAAACGTATGTTAATTATGTCAAATTCCTTGCCAAGGAAAATGCACAAATGTCAAATCCCCCTGGTATACCCGAGACCCTCCTCGGGTTAAAAACTAACAAGTGCATAAGATCACTTTATACTGAATAGCAATAGATTCGGCTTGAAAAATATATCAGATAGATATTTCTTTTGCAAATATTAAATCGCCGTAACGATTTTGGTACCGTCTAAATGGTGCTTCGTTTCGTTTTAAAAAGTGATACTTGAGTTGAGAGGATTTTGTGCAGTTTGAAGTACATAAGAAAAGGTAATGTATTGGTAATCGCTATTAAGCCGATAGTAGAACACACAATTTGCTTGACGTTTTTTTGCCAGGACCGGGAATCTCCAGTATATATGTCGAAAGGCTTACAGTATGGATAATATGTTATTGACGTTATTCGTGGAATTCCCGATAGATCAAATATCGTAAACTATATATTTAAAACAGGACATGAACCCAGGAAAAGAAAGATAAAAGAGTTTTGAAAGAAAAAGCAATTATACGTTTGCAACTTTACAAGTGATTTGCATACAAATCAAAACAAGTCGACTATGGCTCTAAGACAGCGTAACATGAAATTTTTGCAACGTTTTGACAATGGAGTAGTTCAACTTTGAGCTTAAGATAATGTTATGTGTATTTAACACTAGACAGAGCGAAAACTCGAGTAATTCATACTGTCTAGTTACATGTTATTGAACTACTAATTTGCATATTGCATGCTCTATTTTGCTATAAACGCTAAAATGTTCGAGGATGTTATAGATACAGATGATACAGATAAAAAGCGCAAAATGTTTTTATAGATCCAGTTTCACCATCCTTCGAAGAGTAGATTGCACTACTTTGTTTCGAAAATCCGTTCTGGACTTGGCAGATAAAAGCCAATATGTAAAGGGTAGTTTTCGTATTTCAGAAAAGACGTCAAGTGGGTGTCGATAAATAATTTTCTTCTTTCCCCGGTTTATCTTAGTATTCAAAAGTGTGCATTCTTTTTATACCTGAAGGATTATTAAAGTCAGAGAAAATACTAATTTGTTCCAGAGTTTCATATTTTATGAGCTATGACAGTTTAAATGTGTGCAATTTTCAATTGACGAACAATGCAAATTAGGTGGCGAAGGTGGTCTTGAGATTATGGGGAGTAAAAAAATTATTTTGACGAATTTCGAAAAAAGAAAGCCACTGTGGTTACATACTTATAATTGACTTTTGATGGTAAGAGTTTGAGAGAAATTTATTTTTTTTAACTTAGACTAGTGAGCAGCACCAAGGAGAACTCTTTGAGTAGTTGTAAAACTTTTTTTTTTCAACGCGTTTCGTCTCTTAACGGAGACTTCTTCAGGGAATGATTTTTACAACTATAGTACAGCAATATRTAATAATGTAAACGTGATTTACAACTTCCTAAGGAAGTGACTAAAAGCTTACATATGCTGTTTAAAGGGACGTGTATATAACAACGTCGTGACTAATGTTATTATTACGTAAATAATTTGGGGACCATGCGATTAGCGCTAATCGCATGGTCCCCAAAAAAATAACTTACTTACATAGATGTGCTAAAGTAGTGGTACTCTTATAGCTAACAATACATTTCAAATCCGGTAAATGCTTTTCAGTTACTCGCTTAATGTTGGCGTGACTACAGTTAAATGTAGATTTAAATACAACCATTCTATCTACGCGAGTTTTGACCTTTCTAGAAAGCCACTTTGATCTGTTACTATACTTAACTTCTCTGAAAATAGGAAGCAAGAAACTAACGGGATAACCGCGGAGCCGAAGGCGCTTCCAGAATTTAGCACGAGTTTCGCTAAAAGCTTCAAACGTCGAGCTATTTCTGGTATAGCGCATAAGTTCGCCTCTGATAAAGGCCTTCTTATTGCTACCGGGATGAAAAGACTCGAAAGGAATGTACAGATACTTGTTAAGTGGCTTTTGAAAGGTCGAGAAGTGCAATCGATTACTATTACTATCTTTATAAAGAAGTAAATCCAGAAATGAAATCTTGTTTTCTTCAATAACATGCGTAAGTTTGATACGGTCATTTCTGCTATTGAGACAGCTGAGAAAATCTAATAACTTATCCCTGGGACCTTTCCAAATGCAAAAAATGTCGTCAATAAAACGCTTGTATAACACTAGGTGATTCGAGAACTGGCTAACCAGGTCCTTTTCTAGATAATACATAAAAGCGTTAGCGGCAGTAACTGCAAAAGGGGTTCCCATCGCTATCCCGTATATCTGATGAAATATTTCCTCGCTAAATTCTGTTTTAAGAACATTATTTTCAAAAACAAGCCTAGCGAACTGAATTAACAGAGGTGTCTCAGGCGCCTTGGCCTCTCTAAGCAGTAGGTCTAAGGCAATTAATGCTTTCTTAATATCCACGTTTGGATAAAGCGAGATAACATCAGCCGTGACTAGAAAGCNGCGTGCCGCCAGCGGTCTAAATCCCTGACCCTGTTTAAGACACTAAAAAGTAAAAATCCATACCCTGTTCAAGACAAATCGGAAAAATAAGGAATCAGTATCTACGCCGCAACCATCAAAACTGCAAATATACTGACATCCATCAAAGACAATTAGACGTTTTTGATAACACGTGAATTCTTGGACAGTGAAACGGTATTTCTACTATTTATACGGTGTTATGAAAATATTACCCTGTCCAAGGACACACATAAAATTATGTCGGTCTCTTTTATCTAAATTGTAGAGCCTGTTTAAGACAATTTCGGGTGAAATGTATACCCTGTTTAAGACTGCAAGGCCAAAAACCATACCCTGGCCAGCGGCACGTCCCCGTATAGCAAACATATGGGAGTACCCCCCACCCCCGCCCCCCGGAGAATCAGTCTTTGCAGTTTCATCGATGCATACTCATTCTTTTTATTTCTTTCTTGCAAACAATTATTACACTTTTCTTAAGCTTACTATTAAAGTTAAAAAAAACAATAGTTTAAAACATAAACTTTTTCTTTCGCACAAAAGAAATTACAGGCAGCCCAAGCACTGGACTTGGCAGTGAAGAACGAAAAGTTCGATAAAAGTGGTAAAACTTAATAAAAATATTTCAAACTACAACATAGTGTTCTTCTTATTTTTCTCAACGCCCCTGTGAAGTTTCAGCTCATTATGATAAACTTTCCCTACTTATATATATTATGACAAGGTTGGAGACAAACCGACGAAAAACACAATCGACACGGCTTCAAATTAAAGCATTTATTTGCCAAAAAAACACTTGCCGCTCAAATTGACTGCCATCACACATTTGGTTATGCATAAATACATCTTAATTTTGATGTCTTAGAGGCTTACCTGCTCTTGACTTGCTCTTGGCTTTCGTTTGCTGACCACAGTATGGAGAGTCAAGCCTTTTTCCCGATTTTTGGAGAGTCGATCTTCGTGTTGGAACGGCTTTAGTGCATAGTCAAGAGCAGGTAGGCCTCTAAGACATCAGGGGCGTTGAGAAAAATAAGAAGTTTGAAATAATTTTATTCAGTATTACCACTTTTATCGAACTTTTCGTTCTTCACTGCCAAGTCTATTGCTTGGGCTACCTGTAAAGAAATTAAACTTCTTATCAAAAGAGACTTACTTGAAATCAAAACGATGATTTAATACACTTTAAAGCAATTTGTTGGAGTTTTAACAATATAAACATAGTCATTTAAACAGAAAATACCTCTTGCTGGCTACTATTTGAGCTGATTTCACTTTGTAACTGTACTGAATTTAATTTCCTCAAGCTGAACGAGTGAAGAAGGCGAGACTTTTTTCGATGCAAAATGTCTTAAAATGGTAGCCAACAAGCCTGAAACTTAACAAATACAAAACCCTAATACAATTCTTCAATGAGAAAGCTTTTGTTATTTCTTTTAAGCACTTGTTCATAGTTTTTGAGTACTTTTCTCTCTGTTTAATATCGCCGAAGTGTCCGCCATCTTGGATTTTTGACAAAAGTTGTCAGTTCGAACTAGCCGGCTGATTAGATAACTTTATACAAATGAATGACCTCTTGATGTTATAAAACTTCAACGATGATTTCAAGGATTATTCCCGATCGCCGTCGATTTGTCGGTATTTATAAATAATCATTGATTCATAACAGCTTCTCTGTTATTCGTGAATTGGGCATTAGTGATGGATTACAATTAATTCTCAATGTATGTATAACATATTCTTATACTAGTATCAGCCTGAATGCTATTATTGCATACTTATCACATTTCAATTTTAAAATTTCAAGTTTAACATTAATTTTTTAACAATTCTCTATAACTGTCTCCAACTGTCACGGATCGCTGTCAGTTGGAGATGGGTGCCCTTCTCATTAGTATTCATATTGAGTCATACAACACAGGGATACCATTTCTCCAACTGTCTCCAACTGTCACGGATCGCTGTCAGTTGGAGATGGGTGCCCTTCTCATTAGTATTCATATTGAGTCATACAACACAGGGATACCAAATCAATCAGGTTTTCAAGACGAATGTTGCCCCTACCTCAATCTGTCACCATCCGTGACAGTTGGATGAAGTCTGTCCGACTGTAAGCATTTGGGACTCATGCGAATCAAAAAATTTTTAAACACAAAAATATTCTAAGTGCCATCACAATACAATAAATTTAAGAGTTTTTGCCCCTACCTCCATCTGTTACCATCCGTGACGGTTGGATGAAATGATTCCAGCTGTAACCATTTGGGAGTCATGGGATTTAAAAATTTTTTTAACATATAAATATTCTAAGTGCCAATGGAAAATGAATGTATGTAAGAGTTTTTACATTGTACATATTATTCTGCATATCAATTAGAATTATCATAMTAATATGCATATTCTATGCATATTGATTACTTAWCAGATTGACACAGATGGAGCTCCAACTGTCTCCATCTGTTACAGATCGAGAGTATTGGACAACCCTCGACGGTGGTCAGATGTGACCACCGTCTGGATTTCCGCCATACATTTTTACCAAATTTTGCGTATTTGATAGCGAATAATTCCGCAAACAAAAGCTCAACAATCCTTAATTTTTACAATCTATGTAGTTTTTATGCTCTTAAAGGATATGAATGTCATATTTTAATGCGAGTAAAACAAAAATTGTGATGAAGAATTACAACAAATGTTCCTACAGTTTACAACTGTTCAAATGACTGTAGTGCATAAAATATGTTTTGATACATAGTATAGGTTATGTCATTTGAATATTGTTTCGGTATGTGTAGCAAAATATCAATTAGAAAAGAACAGCTCAAGCTACCTCAGACTTAAAAGAATTCAGAAGCAGTTGATTGTGCTTGTGTTGGTATAAGAATTTCGTAAGATGAATTTCCGATGGCTCCTTGAGCGGTATGTCACCACTGTCTGAACGAGCCTTGTAATTGGTCCGTTTCGTCAATATGGTTGTGGAGTTTGTAGCCAATCTGGAAGTAGCTTCTTGTCACGTGTCCGTCCTGTAATGATTTGAAATTCGCGTTGTTGCTACTAGTTTGCTGCACGTGAAAAAAAAAAATTGTCAACTCTATTGTACCCTTCAAAATTTTGAAGTTTCTAGTAATTGGATTACAATTCATCTTTGGCTGATTAATTTTGCCGTTACTAATTCCATGACTCAATTAAGTGGTAAGTAAACAAAATTTAACTTGTTACAGTAACGATAAAAGCTTAACCTTTGGCTTGCTTTGCCCTCACCGCCTGGCGGCCATTTTCAGACAGTCTCTAATTTAGTATATCAAAACTAAAGTGGCAAAACGTGAAGACGTTGTAGGGCTTTCAATATGTTATCAAGACATCGAAAAATAGTTCTGATTATTCATTTTATCGATTTCATTTGTATTTATGCAAGAAAATTCGTGAGTCGATAAGATCAAATATGGCTCGATCAACGGAGCCGGAAAGGGAGACCGTCTTTCAGGCCAAGCTTAGCAGTCTATATCTCTCTAAAACAACAAACTAGAAGTAACTTATTACACAAGAATTTATTACATGGTTTTGGTTTTCGAACACCGATTAACTAAAGATAATTATTGCTATTTCCGCGAAAGTACGTCTCGGCGAGTTTACAGTAACTATGTCGTTTGATTTACGTGTTTCGCTGTTTATTTTATAAATTAAGAGCATCTAGAAGAATCTTGCTACGATCTATTTGCCTCAGGTCCCTGAGAATACTTTTTAAGCTTATATGAAAACTATTGTTAACAATGAAAAATGTAAAAATAAGCCGTAAATTGTTGGTTTCATTATCTAATAAATTATTTTATACACCAACAGTCCGTAAGTTTTTCTTTTTTTTTTTTTTTTTTTGTAGAATAGCACCAATTGGAAAAAAGAGGTAAAGGGATCATGCCCAAATTGCGACGCCTCATATAGTACGGCATGGAAGCCAAAAACCTGCCAATGTGGTTATGATCTTGGTGGCCATCATGTACCTAACCCAAAGAAAACAAAATTAGATAACCCTGACTGTGTATTTGTGGTAAAAATACAGGGAACTAGTATTTACTCGGTGAAAACAAGTCCAAGGGGCGACAGGTGTTTTGTAGTAACTGATGACAGAGACAGTTTTTGTCATCATCAAAATTGCAAAGATGCTAAAGGCATAACAACAACCGACAACGCAACAAATTTGTCATCATTTTCATGTCAGCACATTATGTTTCTGTCAAAACGTTGCAATGAAATTAATCATTGGTATATTGATGATGACACTTGTGATATGAGTACCAAAGATGACATAAGGAACAACACAAGCAATATAGGGTTTCCATCAGTAGTCCAAGTTGCCACCAATATTTTTGCTGTTTGTGGACCAGCAAGTGCCTCTTCCCAAATCACATATACACATGTAATCAAATTGGACGCTGACTAATCTAGGTGCACGGCAAAAGGATTGAAAACACTATCAAGACAAGGTTCTGGAAAGCAACAGAAATATACCAAGCTATGCATCCATAAGCATTTGCTATTGTGTGCAACACGCATGTCCACAAACATACTTCTTTTAAGTTGAGTTGTTTATTTTCAACAAAGGATCCTATTCCTTTGGCTCTACGATCACGTATAGTTTACAAGTTTACTTGTGCGAGTTGTAATACTCGTTATATTGTTGAAACCATATTCTGAACCTTTAAAAGTTATCACCAGCTGATCGATTTATATAGACAATTGTATTAAATTGAATTTGCATAAAAAGGCTTTTTATATTCTGAGGAAGATTTTTGTAATCATTTCAATGACCAATAAATTTATTTATTGGAATGATGTATGTGTGATGTATAACATACAGTTGTACAAAACAGAGATAACTAGCAAATTTAGGATGTTGTATATTGCATTATTAAAGGATTTGCATTTTTTTTCAGAATTGTTGAGGACAGCATCGACTACCACATCAGTCGAGAGAAAGACCAAACAAGTCGCTTCACTGAATGCAGCAATATCCTGTCCTTGACAGAATCAACTGTACTAATCTAGACAACACGAAACCACAGAAATCCTTCAAGGAAATTCAGCTGATTGATCTTTTCCCTGTACGAGAGGTCCAAGAAGCATTCAAGACAAACTGTGCGGTTCTGGTCAGCAGGATTATAACAAATGCCTTCAAACATCTGCATGATGTAGTTGTTCGCCACATACCACATGTTCATAGTGCTGAGATGTCTACAAAGTCTGAAATAGTATGTATTTAATACTCCACAAACAATAACATTTCAAAGTAATCTGTCACTATTTAATGACATGGACTCGGTAACATATTTTGGCGACCACGCCAGGACCAATTGAATTGAGGTTGATTATGCTTTGTATAGACTTGAATGGCTTCCTTGTTTCACTTTAAGACTGTGAAGAGAATTTGAGGAAAGGCTCCTCACAACTCTTCTTCGAACTCGAAACTTACTTACTTCTGTGGTGAATGAAGAAGTAACATCCTCATTCGACTTTAGAAAACCAGTTACTACAGTGACTGGGAACAAGGGAAGACCAACGCTACATATAAGACCGGAGCAGATTTTATACTGTATTGAAAGGGGATTTACAGTTACTGAAATTTCCAAAGTACTTTTTGTATCTGAAAAGACAATCCATCGGCGTTTAAAGGAACTTGGAGTTACCGTTAGATTAACTTACTCAGTGATGACTGATGCTGAATTGGATGCTTGTATATCAAGCATACTCCATGAATTTCCAAATTGTGGATATGCATGGACATTTGTTGTGTCGAGGTCACAAAGTTCAAGAGATTCGCATTAGAGAAGCTATGAGAAGGGTTGATCCCATAGGTGGGTACTTCTTTTTATTAATATTATCCTTTTAGCAGCCACTTATTGTTAATATTAATGTATGAATTTAAGGAATTTATTATAAAAATGCTTGTGACTTACTAGAAAGCTGAAAAATATACAACTGATACTACTGAAAATAGCTAAGTGTTTAAAATTTTCTTTTAAGAGATATTTTTCAATAAGCGTATTATTATTATTGTTATTTTCGCATTCCAGGAGTAAAACAAACTAAGAAATCATCTACCTATGCTCAGTACACAATAGAAGTAAAATCACAACATCAATTTGATTGATTGCATTTTTAAAGTGCAAAACTAAACTCTCTATTCTTATGCACTCTTTTTTAGTAGTGAGGCTGTTAACGTCAAAAAATACCCTCAATTGCTCACTTTAATGGTAAAAGCATGAAACTTGGCATGGATGTTGACCTTCCTAATATGAACATTTTTGGATATAGTGTCAAGCGAAAATCACTTTTGGTGGGGAGTACTGCGCATGTGCATTATGCAAATGAGATTGACCTTAAATAATGAAAAAAAACCAGTAGTATTGTTCTTTCTCCACATCTCTGCGATGCATTAACAAYATAAAGACATTCAATCAATCATCAATCATTTTATTTCACAAAATGTATACTTATTACAATTTGATTTATATGAATATATATATTCCATTTTTATAGTACACATATGTGGGGAGAGCTATAGAAACCCTTTCAGGCTTTAGAAGAAGCTCCCCCATTTTGAAAACAACTTAATTACATTTTTTTGTTACTAATATATAGTCAGGTATCAGATGACTATAAATCATGATAGAAAAAAATTTGTACACCATGCAGGTTTTCAATTCTTAGAACATTATTATATATGAATAATTGTATAAGCTTGAATTATTTAATCATTAAAGTTTTTGGGTCTTGACAGAAGAAATTTTTTCATTCTCTTTTTAAATATAAAAAAGGTTCTAGATGTTTTTAATACGGTAGGAAGTGAATTCCATAAATTAACTATTTTGTTTCTAATTGAGAATTTTCCATAATTTGTTCGTATAAATTTTTTATGTAGATTTTTGTAATTTCTTGTATAATGGTCATGAATCTTATTATTTTCGATATTGAGATTTCTAAAATAATTAGGAAGATTGTTATTAATGATATTAAAATTAAAGATTCCTATTTGTAAGTCATTAATATGTTTAGATTATTGAAAAGTGGAAGTGATGGTGAAGAATATGAAGAAAATGTTATGAATCTTTTTGTTTTTTGCAATTTAGCTATC